ACACACACACACACACACACACACACACACACACACACACACACACACAAAAAGTAAAATTCAGATTCAAAGTCCATTGCTAGAAGCAGCTGCCAATTCCCTTCCCAGCTTTCTATGAGTGTTTCTTCATTGTTTAAAGTTGATACAACCCATGATGCATGCAAGGTATTTAACACAGCTGCATCGTTCTTCCAGATGTATTAACTGACAATATTGAGAAGAAACATCTGCTTCAATTGTGTGAAAAATTTGCTGGAAAAGCAGGATGACAGTAGACAGTCTTTTTTTGATGCAAGATGTCTCTCCAAGGATTCAATGACTTACCAATGTAAGCTTCAGAATCACCAATATACATTTCTATGCAGTGTCCGAGCATTGTGACTGAAAACGTGTCATCCCTCCTAAGTCCAAGGGCCTATTAAAAAAAATAAAACAATAAAATAAAATCAAAACAGGAAAAAGTCTTTAGCTGCATAGAAAACCATTTGCATCTTAAGTCCGCTATTCTGAGTTTGTTTGTTGACAATGTGATCAAAGTAGTCCCTGCTGTAAAAGCAAAATACCATGCAACCAAAATATTTTCATATGAACTGACTTAAGAAAGCAAACCACAAAAATACAGCTAGAAATGGAAATGTATCCAGACAGAGAATCACTCATAAGCCATGAAGATACACTAATAAAATAATTCTAACAGCTGCAAGGAACTTAATTTTACACAGCTAAACTACAATTGATAATGAAATAGACTGAGACATACTTAAGTAATTACAATTAAATTTACATGATACAAGCTTTAAGTACATATAACTGCAGCTAAATTCTCAACCCTATCAACCTGAATGCTGAAAAATCTAGCACTCACTGAAATTCACTGTTACTCAATGAAGACATGAAATATCCAAAAACTGTCCTGGAAATAATAAAATACAATCACAGAATCATAGAATTGTTCGGGTTGGAGAAGACCTTGAAGATCATGGAGTCCAACCACAAGCTAACCATCCTACCCTAACAACCCTCCGCTAAATCATGTCCCTGAGCACGACATCCAAACAGTTTTTAAACACATCCAGATAAATCCATGACAACAGAAAGCGGCCTATTTTTAAAATCTACACTTAGTGCAGAATTTCTTTGAAGCATAGGTTGGAATTACTTCAAACCATTTCAGCTGTAGAAGTTGTTAATGCACACATAATATGTAGGATAATTCAGTTGGTTTACAAGAAGGATCCACCAACAGAGTTTAAAAAAGTGGCTTTAAAAAAATAATGATTAGACTTAACTCATAGAAAACTAGGGAAGACTTCTTAAAATAAATAAATAAATAAAATAGACAATAATTTGGGGGTTGGATAAAACATTCAATCTGTTCCAAAATCAAAACCAAATGAAATGGTAAACACAGACTCAGCGACCAGCGCTTTAAGCATACATACCGTATGAAAATAGTCAATTGCACTTTCAAAATTGCCCATCAGACTGTGTATGTAGCCAATGGCAGAGTAAGTCGAAGCATTTTGAGGGATCAGCACTAGAGCCTGGCGATGGTATTCCAGTGCTTCTTCGTACTTCCTGATGGGGTTAAATACAGAATATCTATTAGCAAGCTTCAGAGTGGAAGATGTCGTTATAGTATTCTGTTGATAATTTCCTTACCTCTGTGACAGACAATCCTGTCAAGAACTTTGAAGTTTTTGATTTGTTTTCTTAACATAAAAAGCACACAAGAGTCACAGATGTTGATCATTTTCTTCCTCAGCATAATTGAGAAATCACTGTTCCCCTTACATAGTGCAATAGCTGTCTGCAGCTAGGTCCCATTTGGAGAAAATTCTAGTAATTAGATATGGTAAATTTCTTCAGATATTTAATGCTGCTCACTGCAAAATTAGGTTTCTTTCTGTAGCTCTCATTCTTCTTCCCAGGGGAGTAAAGGAGCAATGAGACTGAATCACTCATTGTTCAAAATGAGAAAAGCTCCCCAAGCAGAAATTTCACAACCCTTTAGTGCTGCATACAGGACTTTTGTTACTTCCACTTTGACGCTGTTTTCATTAGAACAGCAAGATTTACACATAGTCACAATTTCTTTCAAGTGAGCCATGCTTTCTTTGAAAATTCTCTCTTACATAGACTGCTTATTGCATTTGTTTTTTTACAAACCAAGGATTAAGTGTACGTTATTGGTGCTACTCTGCAAAATTCAAGTGTCACATTTAGCATCCTGTGGTACCAAGCTGGCAAAAATAAAGACAGCAATTGTCTATTCAAAAGAAATTTTCATGTCTCTAGCTGTAATGAAATTAAGCAAACATCAATACATAATGTTGTTAAAGACAAAAATCAAGGCATAAAAATTTGCAGCTGCTTTCCTGTTGCACAAAACTTTCACATAGCTTCAAATGTTAGTTTCAGTACACTATTGACCTGTCTGACTACCTACCACTCTATTTTTATGTGCTGTTTTCAAATTTCAACTACATAGACCAGTAAGATTTTCAGATATGGACATTCTACTTTGTCAAAATGTACGTGCAGCTGCCTAAACTCTCATCTTCCTAAAAGACAGTTTACAAGGATGCGAAAATACACTGGATTGGCTTTCTGAACCTGAACAAATAGTAAAATGCAAGTCGCCCTGAATAGGATGTAATCAGTAACTAAGTTACTGCAAGAAATTAAAAAAGACAAAAGGAATTATAACTGAATTATTTGAAAAACAAAAACACAACACATTTTTTCTTTGATTTTGTGAGAGCAGGTAACTGTTATACATCAGTATTTCCCAACAAAAATGACAAATAATTGCAGTTCTAACACAAAACCATTACTATCAAAGCCAAAGCAGACATACAGCTTATATCTAACTGGAATCTTCTCATTGGCATCTTACTAACACGAACTGCAGTTAAAACCACAGCATTAAAAAATATATGGTACTGGTTAAACGTAAGACAACACTTGTTAAAATTAAAGTAAGAGAGAACATTTATCAGCGTTGAAACCACTAAAGCTTTCATATGTACTTTGCACTTCCTTTTCCTCTTCTCAGAGATGCAGATATGAAATGAAACATGAAGCAGTGCTGTCCTTAAAAGCCATAGAATAACATTCTATTGTTAAGGTCACTGAACACTGAGCTAAAGTAATAAAATAGAAGCTTAAGTGCTGATCCAAGCAATGAATAGCATAAAAGGTGGTTTTGTGCTGAATTAATTCACTGGACATAGTCAAGCATGTCAGGATTGTGACAGTAGCTCATTTGCTTTCAGACCCATCTGAAGAGCTAAAAGCCTATGACCAGCTTTCTATTTAAGAATCAACAGCTGAGGAAAGGCTTTCACATTAAGTACTTTAACTTGCACGTGAAAGACTGTCCATAAGGAGCAATCTGCGTACTTATTTTAGACACGGATCTAAGGAACCTGGTTTTTCTTACAAGGTGCTTCCACATTGCCCTCATGTGGTATACAATCCTGATGAAAACAAGGAGGCCCAGAAAAACACATTTTCTGTAGTATTACAGATATTTGAAGCTCCTGTGATATCTACTTACTTCAGTTTTCGGCAGACGTGTCCTAAGTTGTTCAGTAAAGGCTCCCACTTATCAACTGTTATCTGCAAAATAATCAACAATTCAAGCAGCTGCAGCTTGCTAGATTGTAACTAAATCTTACAGGACTACTTAAACAACACACAAAAAACCCACACCCCATAACAAATGAAACAATTCAATCACAACCAAGAAGAACTTCACAAAAATATTCAGTTGCTTCAGTAATGTATTTAAACCCAAAATAAACCTGTTTTCAGCTACTGACTCCC